ATATATATATATATATATATACACATATACAGTATACTTTTATTTTTTTTGTATTAATGACCACACTATCAAAAACCCAGTAAGCAGGGCTTTCAGTTTTAAATCAGTTAGACGTGAGAGGAATAGGGAGCTAAAAGGCCTCTAAAAGTTGGGGATTTTGAAAATATGGTTGATTTTAACCTCCTTTATGGTTTTAAGTGCAATGACTCCAAAGATAACCCATTGCACTTTATTTAAAAAGAATTTACTTCAGAACAAAGTACAATTGTAATTAAATTATCAAATCTTTTTTTTTTGCAAACTTTATAATCAAATTATGTGCCTAGGTTAAGTAACAAAAAAAAACAGTTTAACTTTCCGTTGAATTGTATTCCTTAAGTATTATTATTGAACAGACAAGATCATACATAGTACATTGGGTGAATTAGTCACATTTATATGGTAGGCTCATAATACTCATGATATCTATGGATACGATAAAACCCTAACAACAAAAGTTGGTCATAAAACTTGATTAGTAGTAGTTAATAATTAGCATAAATGAAATGCAGTTATTAAGTTTGTAACCATAAGTATCTTTCTTTTTTTACTGTAAAAATGAAAAAACATGCCTTTTTTTGTAATCCATATCAAATTAATGCATAGTGTACTCTGCAGGAATTAATAAGCACTCAAGTGAGTTTGGTATCAGAAGTGCTGTAACCAGCTTTTGTTTCTGATGAAGTAAAAGATGTTTTACAATAAATTGGAAAAGGACTTTTGAGAATCTTTTCAAGACCTCTTCATTTGTGATCAGTACCTATTTTGATAATTGATAAAAATACTAGTAATGAAACCACTGGTAAGTTATTGAAGAGATAATACACACAAGAAACACTATTTATAGATAAGGAGCCTGGGTGAATGGATATGTGTGCTTCAGTTGTGTTAATATATTATTTTCATTTGAAGTATGAGTAGGCAATTAGTGTGCTTAATTTACACCTGCTTCAGTTCATTTATTTATTGGCTGAACATTGGTGTTATAATTACAACTATATTGCAAACGAAAGTGAAAAAATGTTTAACATGCAGTGTTATAAGACCAGCAGTATTCTGCATGATTATAACTGAAGTATGTAAGTGGCTGGTTTGAAATGTATCATTTAAATTAACTTATTGTAGAAAACAAACTGCCAATTTTAAAATTAATTGTTCTTACATGTATAGTGCCTCTTTGGCTTCTTGTTGAGTTCTTTAGTTCTGTGAAAAGAAAATTACTTATTATATATTGTTGCTGTAATATCACTTTTAAGAAGCATTTAATGAAGTCTAAAGAGAAGTTTTATTTGTAAGTATGTTTGATGCATGTACAAATACATTTCTTTTCAGGTAGTGACATTCGTAGCTGTGGTGTCCCAGTGGTTTGTATAGTAGTAGAAGGAGGACTCAACACTATTAGGACAGTTCTGGAATGTGTAACAGACACACCACCCGTTCCAGTTGTTATTTGTGATGGTAGTGGCCGTGCAGCCGACCTTTTGGCCTTTACTCACAAATATGTTCAAGAATCTGAGTAAGTTAATTTGATCTCTGTTTGTGAGGTTTTGTTTGAGTAGAAGCAAAATAACTCCATGTTATTTAATATGTGAAAACTGTTTTACATTTTGAATAATATCATGAGAAAGTATATTAATGTTCTTATCAAAGTTTGAGAATTTTAAAGTTCAGTAGATTCAGTAAAGGTCAATCTAGGTTTGTGACAGTTTGATCAGATAGAAACTACTTGAAGATATACTCTAACGAAAAACAAACATAAATTTTTTGCAGAATGTTGCTGAAGCAGAATCTGTCAAACAGTAGTTTGTTTTTAAATAATGTATTTCAACTAAATTATTTTTATATAAATGTTCTTAGTTGTAATGGTTTTTATCAGTTGCTGTATGGATAATGTATGAATAATATATTATGCAGCATGGTAATACTGTAATAGGATTCGAATATGTTATAAAATTTCCAAGTTACATCACTGGTAAAATTGTTTACAAATAGCAACACTCATCAATTGTAATATTACTAAATTGTGAAATGTAATCTTAAGACCATAAATGATTACTTGTTTCTTTCAGTGTAGCAGGTGCTGAACATCTGGTCAGTACCATTGAGAACACATTTCATTTAGAAAAAGAGAAAGCTGAAAAGTTGTATGGTGAAATGGTGGAATGTGTCAGACGACGAGATTTGGTAAGCATTTGATCTCCTAATAATTTGTTACTGTGAAAAAGGTTTCATTTTGATTCTACTGACTGAATTGATATAAATATCTTGATAATATGTTTACATAGATAACAGTGTTCAGAAAGGGAGAAGGCCCTTATCAGGATTTGGATCAAGCTGTCCTTACAGCTCTTTTGAAAGGTATGACTGAACATTATTTTATTTTAAAGTTTGGATTACATTATTTTCATGATCTGTTTTAGAATTTTTTAAACTTTTTTATGTTAGAATTTCTTTGTGTTTAAGTATGTTGCTTGTATGACACAGTAAAATCTATATTTAAAATTGTTTGTTTTGTTTTAGGGCATCATCTACCTCCACCTGATCAATTGAATTTAGCACTGACCTGGAATAGAGTTGACATTGCACGTTCTGAAATATTTTTATATGGACAAGAGTGGACCGTAAGTTATTTTATTACGGACAAGATTGGACCATAAGTTATTTTTGTGTCTTGTGATTCTGAAAGGTTAGGAAAATGAAAGCTAAGCACTGAATCAGATTACCTCACAGAATAATGCTAGAACTATTAGACTAAATTAAACTGTTTTTATGTTTAAGCAGTCCTTGATGTGTTTAATGTTAAAGTACTAGCATGCTTCCACTTATTGTTTTGTAAAATGCAATAAGATATCATTTGTGTAGGATAAAAAAAGTGTAATATTTTCTGTGTAATTTAGCCTGAATCTTTGGAGACAGCTATGATGGAAGCTTTACTATTGGATCGGGTGGACTTTGTCAAACTTTTACTGGAAAATGGTGTTAGTATGCAGAAGTTCCTAACAATAAAGCGACTGGAGGATATCTACAATACTGTAAGTAAGAATGTATGATTCTAAAATATAGCTATTAATTGTATAGTTACATGTTGAAATAATTAGTAGATGTGTGTCAGTTAGAACTTTCTGTGGAGATTTCTTCTTTCAGTGTAGGGTAAGTTTTTGTGTTCAGATTTTTTTCTTCTCTTCTCATAATAAAAAATTAGGAGGTTATGTATCAATTTTGAATTAATATTTACTTTGGTCACTTGAAATTGTTTTATTTATGTTTCTGTTTTGTTCTTATTCAGAAATGTGGACCAGGAAATACCCTCCAATATCTTGTTCGTGATGTACGAAAAGTAAGATTTAGCTAAAGTTTTGGTTCAGTATCTATGAGTGTTTTAGAGGATAAATGGTATTTAGATGATCTATTCCACAGTGTGAAATCTGAACACTTAATTTATCTGGTAAATACTATACAAGACATGGATGATTGGACACTTCATTTATCTGGTAAATACTATACAAGACATGGATGATTGGACACTTCATTTAACTGGTAAATACTATACAAGACATGAATGATGGGTCTCTTCATTTATCTGGTAAATACTATACAAGACATGGATGATTGGACACTTCATTTATCTGGTAAATACTATACAAGACATGGATGATTGGACACTTCATTTATCTGGTAAATACTATACAAGACATGGATGATTGGACACTTAATTTATCTGGTAAATATTATACAAGACATGGATGATTGAACACTTCATTTGTCTGGTAAGTACTATACAAGACGGATGATTGGACACTTCATTTATCTGGTAAGTAATATACAGGACATGGATGATTTGTCTTGTATAGTATTTAGATAAATGAAGTGTCCAATCATCCAGGTAAATACTATACAAGACATGGATGATTGGACACTTCCAATCATCCATGTCTTGTATAGTATTTACCAGATAAATGAAGTGTCCAATCATCCATGTCTTGTATAGTATTTACCAGATAAATGACACTTAATTTATCTGGTAAATACTATACAAGACATGGATGATTGGTACGCTTCATTTAACTGGTAAATACTATACAAGACATGGATGATGTGTTTGTTCTGTGGAAGTGGTTGGAAGAAATCTGTTCTTCAGTACAGTTTAGTTATAATGTAGAGCTGATATAAGCTGCTCAGTAAGTAATGAGATAAATGTTTGATCTATGCATATGAAAGTAATTGAACATGATTGTTAAATGAAAATAGTTCATTGTTTTATTGAGTTAAAAAGATTAAGAATACATTTGGTTGGGGGACATGAATATTCTCTTATTTCATTTTGGTTTTTTAAAATGTTGTAAAATATGCCAAGAGGATATTAACACACACTATATAGGTCTGTTTTTTGAGAAAATGTTGCAAGGATATCAATATATATAATATTGGTTCCCAACCTGTGGTATGCATAACCTTAGGAGGAAGTGAAAACCTTTGAAAAAAACTTGATACCTCAAAATTGGAGAGTAGTCTTGATAGGTTATCACCATATTACAATAGCCAAGTCTCAATGTTTACACATTATTTCTTTTGATTTATGTTTTTATTAATATATACCATTCTTAATTTTTTTAAATATATTATATACAGGGTACATCCATGGCCCAAAGATCTGGCTGTGGGTACACCCACCATAAAAAACTTTGGAGACCATTGAAATGTTTTCAGTTTTTTTTTAAATATGCCAAAGAGTATTAATATACACTGGATGTGTGATCTGTTTTATTTTAAATATATCAATATATACTCTTATGTTTTTTAGAAGTTATCAGAAGCTTATTAATATGAACTTTTTTACAGAATATGCCACATGGATATCGATATACACTCTATGACATTGGTTTAGTCATAGAAAAATTAATGGGTGGTGCATACCGTTCGTCTTACTGTCGCAAGAAGTTTCGGCAATTTTATAACAATGTGATGAAGAGGATTGCATTTAATGATAGGATGAAGAGAGTTGCAACAGTAAGAATTTAAAAATATAATCTATTAATTCAGAAGAAAACTTTTCAAATGCATTAAAGAACACATTCTAAAAATATCAAATAAATTCTAGAAACTAGAAATATATAAAATAAATTGTTACAGTTTAATCTAGCTAACGTTGAATTTTTTCAGCTATAAAATTTCATGTTGATGTTTTGAGACTTTTTGTAAATAATTGGTTTTGTGTTAAGTTTATGTAACTCCACATATAAATAATTTGAGTAAGAATAGGAAAAATGACAATGTAGGACTGTGTCCTTTAAATGTAGCTAAAGTTATTTTTTAAATTCAGTCCTTACCATTTCATTGGTAACTGTGGTTTAATTGGTTTAGTATGTCTACATTCTTTTACACTTTAATTCAGAATATTTATATGTTGTGTTTGTAATATCCTTGTTTGAACATTCTTTTTAAGTCCGTGAACAAAACCTGTAAATTGTGTACAAGTAAATGGATCTTTTCATTATTATCCTCTAGAGTAATCACACAAATATGATCCACAAAATAATTTATTTAGTTTTGATGCAACAACAGCCTGTAACCCATCAGTAGTAAGACACATTTCATTCCTCAATTTGCCTTTTCTTAATGTTATCTTATTCACAGACTGAGTTGAAGATACTGACAATAGGCCTGTTTAAGTAATGAATACAGAGCCAAAACTAATTGTTTTTTAGACAGCTTTCTGAAAAAACCTTAATGTGAAAAATGTTATACAACATATATTGTAAATTTTTAACCTAATGTTACTCTAAAATTATCTTACAGGCTCCAATAACTTGATTCAATCTAAAACAATAATTTTGTGCAGTGGTTTCACAAGCATGGGTAACTTATCAAAAACATTTGTTACAAAATCTCACACACAAAAATGTAAATATATTTAGAAATTGTAACTTACCTTAACGATTGCTTCCTCACCACTCTGCCACATGTACAGCGCCATCTTGTGACGTCTAGTTAACACTGCCCAAAGTAAGAGTTCATTGAATGGATATTTAAAAGGTGCTTCACTGTATGATATGAAGTCAGTTGTAGAGTATGTACTTTGGTTGAAGGAACGACTCAGTGTTGGGCTCTAAAAAACAAAAAAAATATAAGTTTGAAAGAACGTGAAGACACCCAAAAAAATTCATTATTTTCTTCCTTGTTATATTTAACACTATAAATCTGATAAAAAATAAAATACAACACTAATAAAAACCTCATATTTTACAATGGTACTTGCACCTGTTAATACGTTCACTTTTAAAACGTTAAACAATATTTAGCTAATAAATAAGCTAGTTTTAAAATAGGCTATAGCCAACAAACAAATCAGTTTTAAATAGAATTTTTCTCAAGTAAACTTGGTATGTACTTAGCATTAGCTTGTAATTCTTCATAGATATCAGCTTCTAAGTCATCCTCTGCTGCTTCTTTAGCCATTTCCTTGTATCATCTGATGAAAGCTCTTTAAAGATGTGTGAAGTATATGGGTTAATAAGACCTTTAAAAGGTGAAATTACAACTATATCAAAATTTTATAATTTAACATGGTACTTCAGCCTGTAATTTTTGTTAATGTTATTGTGAAACTGGCTTCCTTACTGGTTGTAACATATTTAAAACTGTCTTGTATATTGGCTGCAACTTATTTAACACTAACCTTTATTGGCTGTAACTTTAAAACTAACTTTTTATTGGTTGCAACTTATATAAAACTCATTTACTAACACACGTTTTAGAACAGTATGATCATACATGTGGTAAATAATAATTTTAAAATTGTCTTCCTAACAGATTATATTAATGAATAGCTTTTTGTTTTAAAATTATTTATATAATACTTTTTTCCTATTGTTTTGCATAATAATCTGAATATTTCTTATTAAAAGTTCCTAAATGCCAAAGATTCAGTAACACCCTACATTAGTAATTACAGAGAAGTGTTACCATTTATCCATTGTTTTAGCATTACCAATCTATTCACATTGAAATATATTATTAACACGTTTTACAAAATGTATGTTAAAGATTTATTATTCACATACCTAAATTGATTTAATTAGTATAGGGTGAAATAAAACAAACTCAAAACCTCATAGATGTTCTACAGAATTTTTACTTTATTTGATATGTAGAGATTTTGAAACCAGGGCTTTGGAACTTCTGGACTATTGTTATCGTCAAGACGATGATATCATTCTACAGTTGCTCACTTATGAACTTCAAAATTGGAGCAAACAAACGTGCCTTAGTCTTGCTGTGAATGCTAAACACTGTGGTTTCGTGGCTCACACAGCATCTCAGATGTTATTAGCTGATTTGTGGATGGGAGGTCTTAGGACAAGAAGAAACATTAACTTAAAGGTACAAAAATAATGAAACATATAAATATTGTAGAGTGCCTAACAATATATTTTGCATTTCTTTTATTTGTTTGTAATTTGTGTTCAAAATTTGAAAGTTATGACAACATCTCTGTTGAATAAATCCAGGTTTCAAGTAATAAATTTTAAGCACATGATCTAGTTTCTGTTGTTTGTCACATTAATTCTTTCTCTACCACTAACAATATTTAATATTAAACATATGATCCAAGGTGCATCATTCATAATAAGGTAATTCTTATTATAGAACTGATCATGGTATTGTTAATGTCATGTATGTGATCCCAGTTGTATTATCAGTTACAATGTAATTTTTTAAATCTAATGTCAAGGAATACAATCCAAGTTATATTGTAACTTACCATATAAATGTCATTATGGTGAACAAGAATATGATCCAAGATCTGTGTTTAGCAGCTCTCATCATCATTAAACACTGGGTATTTTAACATTGAAAATATAGTACATTGACTCTTGTTCTAAACTAGGTAATTTTGGGAATTTTGATGCCACTGAGTATTCTTGCTTTGGAGTTTAAATCCAAAGAAGAATTGCAGCTGATGCCTCAGACTGAAGAAGAACACATCCTAGATCTGAAAGATGATGAGGACTCTACATCAGATTCAGATAGTGAAACTCATAGTCAGATGAGTCATGTAGAGGTAAGGGTTCTGTCTTGTGATACAGAGAATAGTAAGTTAGTCAGACTTACTATGATGAATTATGATACTGTACAGTAGTTTAACCCTTTCCTGACAACAGAGCAACTTTCGTGTGTGGAGTGCATACATGCATGTCAAAATTCATAATTCGAGTAGAAACAAATATTCTAACTATTTTGATAACTTTTTATCATAAGAATTGATATTTTTGTCATTTATTTAGTGTTATTTAAAAAAAAAATGGGAAAAGAATCCAAATCTACCTTTTTTGCACAGCTCCAAGAAGTCTGTCCTGGAAACAGTGTACTTCTTGATGTTTTTAAGAATTTTTCTGTTCATTCAAAGTCATATGTTTTTATTTATTAAGAAATTTATCATCTATTAAGAATACAATTAGCCATGCCTTGTTTCTTTTATGATTTCTGAAAAATTTTTCTATTAAAATATATCTGTTTGAAATGTAAAAAAATTTTCTTTAGTGACAAGACATCTGGTAAGCTTAAGCTCAGTGAGTACAGTAAGTGATGAAAAAATATTTGGACATGCAGCTTCTTGTGTATTGAATATTGTTGTTTATTGAAAAGAAGCTATATCTGTTAGGTGAAAGTTAACCTTGACCAAGAGTTTTGTTAGCAAAAATATTGTTACTTAGCTTGACAAAGAAAATGGTGATGCCATTGTGACAGGTTAGGTCATAAGTCACAACAAATCTTTGTCACGTTTCCACCATGCTTTTTTTATGATGTGTAGCTGAAAGTGGTGACTACTGTAATTGGTAAACTTAAGTATCAAAATTAGATTAAAGAAAGTATTTTTAATGTTGTTTTTCAAAGGATTCAACAAAGAAACTTGCATAAACTGTGTTAAATTTTGAAAACACATTACTTCACATGGTTGAGTTATGATATTGAATTTTCTTTCTTACTAGTCTTTTACTGCGACAACTTTGACACGATGTAAATCCACTGGACAGCTTAATCAAGTAGAAAATGGAATAATTTTTACTATAGATAACCAAGGAGTAGATCTCGACAACCTGATTCCAAGAATTAAAAAGAGTCCTCTGAGATTAGGGAAGAAAGTATACGAGTTTTATGCGGCACCAGTCACAAAGTTTTGGGGACACACAGTAAGAGAGTTTATTTGATTGAAGCTTAGAATTATAAGTGACCTAGACAATCATGTTGTTTCTTAATAGTCGTACCTAGTATAATTACTTGAGATTATCTGCCTGTAGACCTGATAATTACACTACAAGATATTGGTGAAAAGTAGCCGATTATCTAAATGTAATGTCTTAGTTATATAGCTGGAGAGAAATGTAATGTCTTAGTTATACTACAGTATAGTTGGAGAGAAATGTACTGTCTTAGTTATACTACAGTATAGTTGGAGAGAAATATAATGTCTTAGTTATACTACAGTATAGTTGGAGAGAAATATAATGTCTTAGTTATACTACAGTATAGTTGGAGAGAAATATAATGTCTTAGTTATACTACAGTATAGCTGGAGAAAAGTAGCTTATTGTCTACTTGTACCTGTTAATAATAAAGTATTTGGTTTCACAATAAATATTATTCATAATTTGATATAGAAGCCTCTGATATTAAATGTTTTGATTTTATGGTATAATATAGTGGTTCTCAACCTGTGATATGTGTACCCTTGAGGATATATTAAGATCTTTCTGAAAACATCAAAAAGAAACCTCAAAATTGGAGGGCATGTCTATTTAATATAGTGTTGACTCACGCTTGAATTCTTTTTATTAATATAAACCATTTTTGAGTTTTTGTTACCAATTTATGTGCATCAAGGGTATGCTCTTGTTTTTAAGGTCTAATGGGGCATATAAAGGTTGGGTATCACTGGTGTAATGAATATGATTGAAAATTTGGCATAGATTCTATTAATACTAAAGGCTTTACTTTCTTAATAAACAGTAATTTCCATAAATCTTTACAAAAATGGATTGGGTCATTAAACAGACTTGTAAAAATCTGTTGAGAATAATGGTTTTAGCTACACAATGAACACTATTTAAACTTTGTTATAGAATCTGATGTATTATAAAGGCCATTGTTTATTATTGAACTTATTATTATTCTTATATTTCTATTTGGAACTAGAAATTTCTACAAAGCTAGAAAATCATGGTCTGAATTTATTTTAAATACTTTTGTGAGGTTGAGTTTTTAGTTGGATATTTCATTAACCTTCCAATTGTAATTACTTTATAGATGGCGTATGGAGTCTTTATGTGTTTTTACACCTACGTTGTTCTAGTCAAAATGCGTGCTTCACCTTCCTGGCAGGAGATCTATGTAATAGCATACCTATGTACCTTAGGCTTAGAGAAAATACGTGAGGTGAGGGTAAAAGTTTTACACAAGAAACAGTTGTTACACTTTGAATTTAAATAGGTTAATGTAAGTTACTATTATTGATCATTAAAACTTTTTGTAAGAGTTAACTCAGGTTTTGAACAGGTCTTTGATATTTTGGAAAATCATGGAACCAAACATTTCTTTACTGGAAATCCTGGAAAAACAACCATTTTTAAGCCATGGTTCTGTAAAATTCCTGAAAATTCAGTTTTAATAAAAATATAAAATCCCCCCATGAAATAATTGGTGTAATTGAAGAAAAAAAAAGATTGGTTTTTCAGAATTGTTTTTATTTATGTTTTGTATGGGTCATTATGAAACTTGTGTCTCATGAGACCCAAGAAAGTTGCAACTTATAATGGCAGGCACACTTGATAAACAGAAATACTGGGACAATGTAGGTTCAGTCCTGTGTTGGTAAAGAATCAAGAGTTCTGGACATTTGAGTATAGGTACTAGAATTTTTTTCAAATCTATGTTAACTCTGCTAACTAATGTTAACCAAACATAAATGGAGTATAAAATAAACATACCAAAGTGTTGTTATTAAACAATTCAAGTAATTTGTAATACATCAACCTTAAATTACTCTTCACTCATGTTGGCAGTGATTTAGATAATGACATGACCTTTGGTGTGTTTTATAAAATTAATGTTTAAAAAATAAATGATAATGAGAATTGTTTATAGATATAGTCATGTGTTTGATATTTCGCAGATATAATTTTTACTCATGAAACACAGAAGTCAAACTTTTCATTCATGCTGCTTTAATTATTCTAAGCCAATACCTATAGTATATCATATTGTTAAGGTAGTTTAAATAAAATAATCTTTTTTTTTATTTACATACTGAAACTCTTCCTTATGAAATATTCAATTCTCAATGCAAGAAAAGTGTATAACTTTGGGCTTAATGTCATTTGTTGTCATAAACTATTTAAAAGTTCATAGTGTTATACATACTAAAGTTATGAGGGAAAATTAACAGTCCCACAGCTGTTTGTTTAAATTCTAAACAAAACCTTGATTGGAAAAATATATGTAGATTGTGCATTAATAGCACAACAGTCTCTACCTGACCTCTTTCACCTATTGTGTCTTGGATTATATGCACTTGGCTATAGGCAAGAAGCTGTTAACATATATTGTATATGTTGTTTGGCTAATTAGATCAAGCCTGCATTTGTGTGGTTATACCAATTTCCAGAATGATGGGAGTTCATGTATTTTATGGAACAGTCGTGGCTAATCAAGAAAGGTTATTTAGTTTCTTCACTAGATCTTCAAGAAATCCATTGAAGAAACTGATAACTGATTGCATAAAAAAATCAAATTCCAGTCTGAGCCAAGCACAAGTAGATCTAATAGCATCTGTAAAGAGATTTAAGGTTGCAACTATTAAAGCTGAGGGGAAAAAGCTAGCCAATGCTATAGATCTAGATGATGAGTCGATTTTTGTAGAAAAGTCGAAAACAAAATGTGAAAGTCCAACATTCATGGAAAAATTATCACTCATGGATGAGATTTGAGCCAATAATTTTAAGTGATTGTTCACAGAGTTTAGTTAGATTTCTAATTATGTTAATAATAAATCTTTGGATATTTTATAACAATATGTGTTTTGCTTTAGATAATGTGCTCTGAACCTGTGAAACTTGTACACAAGATATCAGTATGGATAGATAACAGATGGAATGCTTGTGACTTGGTGGCCATTTTGTTTTTTCTGTTGGGCATGTCATTACGATTTCATGTTGACACCCAAGAAGAGGGGAGGGTTATTTACTGTGTAGACATTATATATTGGTACCTCAGAAGCTTGGACTTTTTCAGTGTCAACAAATACCTTGGGCCTTTTGTCACCATGATTGGTAAAATGGTAGGTAACTACTTGTTAACGCAAAATCTCAATTTTATGAATGGTTGTCCTTTATTTTCTCTGGATTTTTAAAGCCTTAAAATAATTCGACAAAGTAAACATAGGTTTCTCTGCATTCATAATTTTATTTTACTTTACAGTGAGGTTTTGATTACTAAACTGCCACTAGTGACAATTTAAACTAAAATTCTTAAAATGGAGAAATCTGTTAATTTCTTACTGAGAATAGTAAAGTGTTTATAGTTTCCATGATGTATTAAATTATGTTTGTTTTAATTAGATTTTCATCATCTTCCAAGGGCATGAGATCAGACAGTTTTATTCTTCTGCATCAAATCTCTCACTAGAGAAAAATGTTAAACAGACAGTTAAAGTTAAAAATAAAATTACCCATTCTATTCTACTTAGTTTTGCCCCTAGTTGGTTTTGATACTTTGGGCTCAACACAGATAGGCCACTGTATTTTTTGATGCGTCACAACAAAATAGTCTGTTTAGCTTTTGAAAGTTATAGCTTCTTGTTGCTCAGTGATAATTGACTGACATTTTATGCTAGTGAAAGTTTCTCCATGTATTGAAGCAAGCAAGTCTTGGTTATCAGACATGATGTAACATGTTTTAATTTTCTTTATATGATGTGACTTTGATATGTGGAATTAGAATATTGTTATAATAAGGATTGCACTAAACTTTACTTAATTTTGTGTGTTTAAATTGAGTTATTTCGTTTAATGAATATATATATATATATATAAAATGTATAACATATGGTAGACAAAATACAGATATGACATAATTGGAGAATTTGTAAAGAAAATGATCATTTATAAGTTATGTAATAAAATGACTTTTCTGAATATTTTATAAAGATGTTTTAGGAACAAAACTACTGCACTTTGCTTTAACCCTTTCATGACTGGTGAGCAGCTTTCATGTATCTTGTGAACACTTGCATATCAGATTTCAAAATTTAATAAAGGATAATAATTTGAGCTATTCAAGTAATTTCTAATTCAAAAATAATTTAGAATTAATATTTTGTAATTTAGTAACATTTATTTAGTGAAATTCACAATATTTATGTGCCCATCCCAATGCTTAGGTTTATACTTTCTAATAAACCCTTGCTTACAGGTGATTTTTCTCTTTCACTGATTTTATTATTACAGCTTCTCATTCCTCACGTTTTTTTATGATCTCACAAGATGTGATATGAACAACTACTAATGAAGCTTATCTTTGAAAATAACTACATTCAAAGTTTTAATACCATTGGACAGAGCAGATTATAAATTATTTACACCAATATGGAGTGAATAGAGTGGTGTGAGAAATAATTTTTAATTTCCTGGGAAGTGACAAGACACAGCAGATTATAAATTATTTACACCAATATGGAGTGAATAGAGTGGTGTGAGAAATAATTTATAATTTCCTGTGAAAGTGAAAAGATCTAGATCCTTCAGAGAAGAGCAACTGAATCTAATGAGAAGTTTACAAGATTTAGGAAAAAATCACATACGTGGGAACTTTTTTAGTTTCTTTGGATGTTAATTTATTTTCTAAAAATGTGTTTGCATTAAAATATATTTGTTTTAAAGATGTGGAAATTTTTTTCTATGACAAGACATCAGGTAAGACTAGTTGGGGCTAGAGAGCATGGTACATGATGGCAAAATATTCTGATGACTTAAATCCTCATTTATGGAATAATATCATCTTCATGCTTCTGGTCACAAAAGGGTTAATTTCCAAATTTTAGAAAGTTTATGAATCAAAGTAAAAAAAACTGCATTAATGATATAATATATCTTATAAAAACATTTAAATTGCTTATTATATTTTGTGGCATAAAGACTTTCAAAAGGTTGCCTGGTTGCATATGTATCTTTTGTATTGTTTTTGGTAATGTATAAGTTTTATACCTTTGTCTTATGACCTTAAGTGGTAGGATTTATTCTATTTTATGTAGGTGTTAAACATTATCTATTTCCGTGTTTTGTTTCTTTTGGTAATTACAAGTTTTAAACCTTTGTTTTATGTTCTTAAGAGGTAGGATTTATTCTATTTTATATAGGTGTTAAATGTTATATATTTCCATGTTTTGTTTCTTTTGGTAATTACAAGTTTTAAACCTTTGTTTTATGTTCTTAAGAGGTAGGATTTATTCAATTTTATATAGGTGTAAAACGTTATATATTTCTGTGTTTTGTTGCATTTGATAATTACAAGTTTTTAATCTTTATGTCCTAAAGTAATAGCATCTATTGTATTTTATTTTATATAGGTATCAAACATGATCTATTTCTGTGTTCTGTTGCTGGTGGTGTTGATGAGCTATGGTGTGGCTCGGCAGTCCATACTGTACCCTGACGAAGAATCTTCTTGGCAGTTGGCTCGCAACATATTTCACATGCCTTACTGGATGTTATATGGAGAAGTGTATGCTGATGAAATTGATCGTAAGTTTTGTTCATGAATATTTCTTGTAGTTTGTTGATTTCTATAATTCTGTAGATGCAAAACTTTCAGCAGGTAATCAGTCATTTTTGTACACATTTTAGACTAGAGGTGAAGATTTCATGTAAATATCTTTCATGTGTTTGTACATTTATTATTTGGCTAGAGTTTGTCAATTTACAACTTTGAGGCCTGTTTCATTGTTACAACACAAAAATTAATAAGACATACTCAGTTACACTTATGATTATATGCAGACTCTGCTATTGGTCTGCCACTCTGTGTAGTATATTTTGATCTTCCTACAAAACAAACTGGATTTTCTGAATATAGTGTTGTGTATTCATATGTGCTAAAGTATTAGATAAACTTAGTTTGTGGGCTTTTGTAGATTTTGAATACATGAAAATATTAAAACTCATAATTTTTGCTAGGAAATATTGTTCAAATGCTTAGACTCTATAATCCAAAACATTTATAAATTGTTATGCACTCTATTTATTTCATTCCTGCAATTCCACTATATGTATTCTAATTAATTCACTCCGGCAGTTCCATTTTATGTATTCTAATTAATTCACTCT